TCCCTTTTTCATTTCATTTGTTAAAGCATGCTGTTTACCACTTACTCTGGCTACATTCCAATTCACAATTTTCCATTTGTCTTCACTACGCAGCATGATGTTTCTCATAGTTATTTTGTTAGTATTGCCTTTGTTCATTGGAGCAAGGATTATGGGAGTTGAATTTCCAGTCCAGTCTTCAGGTTAGAGAAGACTGTTTTATGGGGATCAGCTAAAATGTCACAAAGTTCTGAGTAACTGAGTTTTTAAAACTTCTTGCCTATCATAGTTTATGTTGAAAAAAACCTAAATATTTCAGTTACTTGTTCTTCATATTTTCTGGCAAGTAGATTGAGAACAGCTGGGTAAGTTTATGGGAAGCATACTCAAGCCAGTTTTCCATAATTTTCTTGTGCACTGACAGGGCATATTAAGTGTCCCATGGGGAGTGGGGTAAAAAGCACTGTGTTTTGTATGGAATGTCTGAAGTGCATTGTGTGCTAGAAACCAGGATTCTCGTTATTTTCAAAGGTTTTTTTTTTTTGTAAAGGCAATTCACTAACAGAATTATTCATAATTTACGGAGTTTCTATATGTAAACAAAAATAATAAAGTGTTATTTTAGGATATCAGTAGAGCAAGAGTGAAGTTTTGGCTGATCAACTAAAATGTGAGTATTTTGTGATTTAAATTTGCTATAATATAAAACAATGGAAGGGGCATCTTGATGTTTTGTCCAGAATCTTCAAAACTTTTCTCCAGTCACCCTCTCCCAGAAACCAAAGCCTCTGCAATAACCTGGGACTGAGGTTAATGCATCATCTGGCTCACTTCCTAGACCTTTGTGAGGAGTGTGTTGAATTGTGTTTGAAAGGAAAAAAGGAAAGGAAAGAATGATACTAATTTGGCAACAGTAATTCTTACTGCCAGTTAAGTGAAACTTCCTCAGTACTTTAAGGCTGCTATAAGATTATTTTTTTGTAAGATCCATGGAGTGAATAGTATATTATTATATAGTTGAACCTTTATTGACACTAACCTCAATATATTATTATTTTACAGTTTCAAACACATAATCATTTGCCCTTTAGCAAACCCATAAGTACCATCTATGCAGATGTTTCTACAGAAAACTGCTGCAGGTCAAAATCAAACTTGAGATACAAACCAATACTTGAGGTTTTGAGGGCCTCAGGTTTTTTGTGAACTCCAGCCATATTACTCTGAGAATTTGAAGAAACATTTAAGAATATTTATTAGGCTTAAAAAGATTGAGCTGCAGGTGCAGAACAAAATGTTTCCATCAAGTACATGAAATGGAAAACATGGAAGAATGTTGCTGACATCAATAATCAGGTACTCAGATAAAACATTGACATAATTATTACTTCTATTTTAAGTCCAAAGTAAATTACAAGCATTTCCAAGATCTAGTAAACTAGAAACAAAAAACACAGTTTCCATTCTTCTTAGTGAAGTTAAGCCCACATGATTGCATAGGCGTATATAATTTTTGACGAACAAGTTAAGCTTTGTTTAGCTGTGTGGGCAGGGAGTAAACAAGGAAGAACAAAATAGGGAAATGCTTATAGATTCAAGAAGAGGTAGGACCAATCCACTGAAATCAGTATTTTTTGCAATATTCTTACA